CACAAATACATCCTTAAATTTTGGTCATGTTGATTTATTACCAGATGTTGTTGATATGTGATGATCATCAGTTAGAATCAAAGCCTGTGCCAGTCACATTGACAGAATTCTTAATGTTTCTCTCTGAAACGCAGTCTATTTACAAGTATTACATTTTGGCGCAAAATGCCGACTACTGTTTATTTCAACTGATGGCATCTAAGCTTGGGTAGGACGCCGCAGTTTCTTTTTTCATGAACTCTGAAGCAGACCTCCTCAACTCTGAACAGATCTTGCAATGTCCCTTTCAGTGTCAAATGTATGCAGTAAAGACCTAAATCTTTATCTTGAGTTTAATGTGTTGACTTATATATAGTTAATGTGTACGATTACCTAAAATAATCGCTTTCCTCCTTGATGCTCACAGCACCTCTGGGTGAGATGATGCCCCTGAGCTGCGGGCTCTCCTTCATGCTTCCCTGGCATTACCCTCAGGTGAGTCATCGTTTTGGCAAATTCCATGGAGTTAAAATGAATCTCCAAATGGGAGAGATCCAAGGACTGCTTCACTTACAAGCAGAGTGGTAGAGCAGAAAAAAATAGGGACTGGAAACTCCTCAACTCAGATCCCACCCAGTTGGACCACTCACAAACACACTGATGGCCCCTTGAGTGTCCTTTGGAAAGGGGGATCGTATTACTGCTCTCCAGCCATTGTGCTGTAAAGATGAATTAAGATCAAATGAAAAAAGTGCCTATGACCGTGCCTGGCACATAGAAGGCATCAAAAATGATAGTTGTATTGTTATGATTAATTATTTTCTCCCCAGCTAGATCACAAGTTCCTTAAGACCCAAGATCTGATGGGTTCCACTTGCTGGTGTTTCCCAGCATCTAGAACAATGCTGGGCACGTGGTCAATTCTTTTTTTCTTTTTTAAAAGATTTTATTTATTTGACAGAGAGAGCACAAGCAGGGGGAGTGGCAGGCAGAGGGAGAGGGAGAATCAGGCTCCCCACTGAGCAGAGAGCCTGATGCGGGATTCAATCCAATGACCCTGGGATCATGACCAGAGCCAAAGGCAGATGCTTAACCAGCTGAGCCACCCAGGCACCCCATGGTCGATTCTTAATGTATACTTGGTAAATTAATCTTATCACTACTATCATCATGAAAGTCAGACCAACTACTTATTAACTCCAGTGAATATTTTGAGGGAGACCTTCTACATTCTCTTTTTCAAATCAAATCAAAGCACAGTTCTCCCCGCTTGAAACACTCCCCCACAGGCTCTAATTTGCAGTTACCTTGTACTCCTCCTGCTTAACCGACACCACCTCTCCTCCCCCTTCCCACTTAACCCTGCCCTCAATACCATTATCAATGTCCAGTTGTTTCATATATGTGAGTCCTGTCTTCCTAAAGCTCAACTCCACCAAGAGCTCCTGATTGCTTATGGTTCTGGGCACTGTGCCAGGTTCCAGAAAGGAAATAGTAGCCGCCTCACAGAATTGAGTAGTAGATACTGATACATGATGTGAAAAATTGTACACACGGAGCATCTAGGTGGCAGAGAGGTGAGACTGTGATTCATCTTCAAGGTAGTCAAGGGAGACCACCCAAGAGAGGTTTTAAGAAGGGAACATAATTTTAAAGGAGGGTTGGAAACTTCCAGTTGGTCAAGGCGAGGGAAGAATATGCTAAGGAGAGTGAACCATGTGTTCCCAAGGACAGGAGATGCCTGGATGTGGTCCTGGGGAACTGAGAAGCAATTCAGGACAGATGGGGAATCTGAGAAATAAGGAGGGGTGGGCACTGGTTGGTGAGAGAGCAGTGGCTGTCTTGCAGTGTTTCGAATGTCAAAGTCAGCATGAATGGTGGGGAGCTCTGGATGCAATGGCCTGGTGAACCAGAGATCTGGTGGATCTTTGCTAAAGGGATAGGGGGTAAATTGGGGGAAAAAAAAAAAAAGACTGAAGTTCAGCAAAATTCAAGAGGAAGCAGGAAAGGTCCAGATGAGAGAGACTGGGAACCTAACTGAGTCAGTGATGGTGGGGCTGACAGATGGTTTGGACTGCTCTTCAGGAAGAAGTTTCATAACAGCTACGACTAGCTCCAGTCATTGGAGGTAGATGGATAAAAAGGAAAAAAAGCACTCTTAACAAACAGCATTGTTGGGGCGCCTGGGTGGCTCAGTGGGTTAAAGCCTCTGCCTTTGGCTCAGGTCATGATCCCAGGGTCCTGGGATTGAGCCCCGCATTGGGCTCTCTGCTCAGCAGGGAGCCTGCCTCCCTCTCTCTTTCTCTGCCTGCCTCTCTGCCTACTTGTGATCTCTGTCTGTCAAATAAATAAATAAATAAAAATCTTTAAAACAAACAAACAGCATTGTTTTGTGTCTCTTACTTGGTAAATCATAGTACCAGGTCCACAATGGGCTCAGAAATAGGCTGTGAATAAGCCAGTCCCCATGGCATTTATCTGGTCTTGATTTAATTTTGGGTCCAATTTTAAAATTGCTGTCTATGAACTGGAACTTTCCAAGCCCTTGCTCAGCCTCTTGGTGCATTTCCAGTCTGTAAGGATCCTTTCAATATTTCCAAGTTATTTGCAAACAGAAAACCAAAAAGTGAGTTTGTTTTCCAAGCACATATTTATCTTTTAGACAGTTGTTAGCACAGCGTTCAAAAGAAGCCTAAGGATAAGGTGGCATGACCAAGAACAAGGAAGGAAAGATGTCAAACTGTACCAACACACAGCACAGGCCTTTTTTTGGGGGGCTCACACAAGGTAACAACACAATTTTTCTTGGTATTCAAGGTCATCTCAACCTCACTGAATCTTTAACTGTGTATCATAAACACAGATTTTTTCTTGGAAAACCGTTTCCAGGCTACACAAAGAAATGTACAACTCAGTCTATCAGGGCTTCAGAATTACCAGGGAAGAAAACCAACACAGAACAAACAAAATTACTCGTGCTTAGTCTACACTCTGTAATTACACGGGAAGGGATAAGGAAGTCTCCCATTCATATGATGGCTATCCTGCATCCATTTTTATTTTCTAAGAATCAAAAAGGGCACTATCAGAACTTCAGATGATAGATTTGGAAGGGATGATTTTAAATGATCAAAACTGTTGGAAGCATATCGCGTGTGTATAAATACACATGGTTCTTAAGGATTTTTTTTTTTTTTAAGGATTTTTTTTTTTAAGATGAGGTCAGCAGTCTGTAGTCTGTTGGCCAGTCTGGCCCATTACCTGATTTTGAACTTCCCTGAGCTAAGAATGGTTTTACCTTTATAAGTTCTGGAAGAAAAAAAAAAATCAAAGAAGAACAGTATTTCATGATACGTGGAAATTGCCTTAAATCCAAATTTCAGCATCCATAAATAAAGTTTAATTGGAATGTGGCCCACTTATTTGTTCTGGATTGGCTGCATTAGTGCCGTATGGCCGAGTTGATCGTTGTGCAAAGCCTTAAGTATTTACTATCTGGCCCTTTCCAGAGAAAAGTTTGCCAACCTTTGTTTTAAGAGCACTCCCCTAAGAAACATGGAGGCCTTCAATACTCTGAAGGCTTCTTCACAGAGATTTCCTGTGTCAGTGATACATTATGTTAAAAGAAAAGAAAAATGCATGAATTTAGTAAAGATAATATAGTTGCCATATCATGAAATAAAAAAATAACCACCCTTTTATACTGTATTTAGGTTGCTTTTTATTTTATGCCAGTATAGCATAGCTATTAAGAATATGCCCATCAGGGTCATTCTTTTTGCTGGAATCCCTATTAGCTTTCTGTGACCTTGGGCTATTTACTTAATCTCTCAAAAGTCTTAGGTTTCCTATAAAAACAGGGTAATAACAGTACCAACCCCATGATGTCCTAATACTAAGTGGAGTGACTTTTTTCTTAAAGGAATTATCTCAATACCTATAGGAGGTGTGTGATAAATTTTTTTATGAGCAGCATTGTTGTCTGAAAATGTACTTTTTGTGTGTGTGTGTGATCCCCTCCCAGCACTGCCTGTAACTTCTGCTTGGACAAGAAAATCCGCAAAACCCAGCTTATGTAATTTCACATGGTAAGAGCCCCTCTCTCTTTGTTACTATTGGTAGAAAATGACCCAGTGCACAAATCTGAACCTGTACTTGACAAGAGAGTGGACCAAGGAGAGCCTAGGATGTCTAGAAAAGGATCTTGGCGGTAGAGAGTGCTAGAAGGTTGGGATAACACTTGCGAGCAGGGCGTTGGGATTTTCCATGTTAGAATCCTTTCCAACTTTTTCTGCTGTGAGTTCTCAGGTCCATGACAGGCTGTCAATGAAAGCTAAAAAGTTGTTTGTTTGTTTTTCCAGAGTGGATGCAGTTCTTGTCATTTTACCCCAATTTATGTTAGGTTAACTCTACCATTTTTCTCTATTACTTGATGTCTTAATGGGTGTTTCCCACCACAGAAGCTCTTAGAAAACTATGAGGGTATAATGCTGCAATTCTTGGAAATGTAATGATTTCTGTCCTGCTGGCTTGCTGCTACCCATGTTCTGCCCAAACTTGCTCGTCCCTAGAACAGACTGGCTGTGGATTCCTGCAGAAGAACCAGAGCCCAGCAAGCACAGGGCTCCTTGGCTCTGATGCTGGCTCTCTTTTCTCTCCTCATCTCCAAGTAGGTTGGGAACCCCCTTAGCACAGGTAGTATCATCTTCTCCTCAGGGGCAGTCTGGAGGGGACTGATAAGTAGCAGGAGGAGGAGGACCCTCTTTAAATGACCCAAAAAGAACCAGCCTTTGCCTAAAGATTACACTAACAGGGGAGGAAAATTCCCTGAGACAAACAACTCTTTTGTCTCCTCATCCCCCACCCCCCAAATCATTTACAGAAATACCAGAATCCCAGAAGGCAGCAAGTATCTCCACAGGATAACTGAGAAACAGAATTCCTAGAGGTCCACTTTTTTAAAAAATCTCATGAAATGTACAAATCTCACTTTTTTTTTTTTTTTTACTTCCCGTATTTTGATTTATTATTTTGAGGGAAATCTCTCTGAATTTTATCCTTATTTCTCAGTTATGGTTAACTGAGTTTAACCACTCAAAAGACGAACAAATTATTTCAGCATTCTTACATACTCTAGTTGGACTCATGGTTAAGAGACAAAGACAAACACCCACACATCAGCCCACTGTGTGGGGATAAAACCCCCAAACTATAACACTCACATGCATGCCTGTGAGTGGAATGGGGCAGGGTTGGGGGACACTCTTGTCTACTGGTAGGAGTAACTCTCATCATCGTATTCCAACTCATCTTCATCATCATCATCTAGAAGCCCATACTTAAATTTCCGGTAAACAGTGCCATCTTGGCCCATGTAGACGATGTCATCATCATCATCCTCATCATAGTCCCGGTCCCTGTACTCAATCACCTGATCCTCTTCAAAGCTGGTGTTTTCACGATGGCTGCTCTTATAGGAAACATAGGACATGCTAGGGTTGGCCAGCTTCTCATAGCCGGCCTTCGCCACTGGCTGGACTCGGCCCCGTGATTTCCTCCAGACGATCACAGCTGCCCCGAGCAGAAGCACCAGCATAATGGAGGAGGTGATGAACAGGGCTATCTTGGTATGTTCACTGGCAGGCCCAATGTCACTTGCTTGAAAGATACACTCCTCTGTTGGAAGAAGACCCCAGAGAAAGAGCAGAGCAGGGAAGCGTGTGAGAGAAGAAAAGCAATGAGGGAAACTAGTTTCTGAAGTAAAAAACTTTGCTTTATCTTCAAAAACTAAAATGGCAGAATCATTACCTCTGATTTTCCTAGAGGGCACAACACTCTACAGAATTGTACCATGTACCTCCTGAGAGTCCCTGTTTGTGTCTGACGAGTTCAACAAACCCTTCTAGGCTGAAGATCAGTTTGAGACATAGAGTCCCCTCACACCTCATGAGTCAGTTGCCAGGTATCCAACCAGACCAATCGATTCTTCTATTTCCTTCTTAATAAAATACTCCATCTTGAGCTGTGCTTCAGTTACTGCTAAATGCTCTATTTTTTGTTTCAACTCTGACTTTCTCTAAGACTGATTCCTTTCCTCAGGTACCCTTCAACCTGGTCCAAATTCAAGGGCAGAGAAGATTATAAAACCATTGACTTTTTTTTTTTAAGTAGTCTCTATGCCTAACATGGGGCTCAAACTCACAACCCTGAGATCAAGAATCACTTGTTCTACCTGACTGAGCCAGTCAGGTGCCCCCAAACCATTGACTTTTAGAGTTGTGGGGGGGCTTAGAAATTAATTAGGTCAGACTTCTGGAGAAGATGGTGGAGTATCCCATCTAGATAACATCCACATCAATGTAAGTAACCCAGGAAATGACCTGAAGACTGGCAGGACAGACTCTCCACAGCTAAATGTAGAGAAAACGCAAATCAGCTGGAGAATATGATTTGTTTTATTATTTATTATTATTTTTTAAAGTAGGCTCCACATGCCCAGTGTGGAAATCAACATGGGGCTTGAACTCATGACCCTGAGATCAAGACCTGAGCTGATTATCAAGATTCTGACGCTCAACCAACTGAGCCACGCAGGGGCCCCTGGAGATTTGTTTTAAATACCAAGTTGACTTACTCTGGTCAATCAGTAGAACTCAATGCAATGACACACACACACACACACACACACACACACACACACACAAAGAAATTAGGTCAGTCTGTTGCTTGACAGTTGAGAATACTGAGGCCCACAGAAAGGATGAATTGTTGCCTGTCAGAGGTAAAAGCTTGTCTGTGGAGCAATTAAAATTTGAACCCAGGAATCCAGATTGCACGCTAGGGACCAGAGACATTTGGGCATATACTCTGACAACTGTGTTTTTGGGGTCATGAATTCTGTAGCCCTAATCTGATAGGAAGAGACGTAACTTCTTTAAATTCTGACAACCTGGGGCACCTGGGTGGCTCAGTGGGTTAAAGCCTCTGCCTTCGGCTCAGGTCATGATCTCAGGGTCCTGGGATCGAGCCCCGCGTCGGGCTCTCTGCTCGGCAGGGAGCCTGCTTCCTCCTCTCTCTCTGCCTGCCTCTCTGCCTACTTGTGATCTCTGTCTGTCAAATAAATAAAATCTTAAAAAAAAAAATTCTGACAACCAAGTTGAGGGATAGGGGACTCTTGTATCATAATGACAATTTCTAAAGTTGAGAGCCCTGCCCTGTGTTGTCCCCCTGTTGTTCATCCAGCAGCGAAAGAGAGTATGAGAGCACCGGGGAAAAAACTAGCAGGCTCTGTTGGATGTACAAGTTGAAATACAGGGTAAGTTTTCTGTAAGTGGTTTTTGAACCACCAGGGTCTGCTCCCAGGATTCTTTTATGAGATTCTAGGTGTATTATATATACTAGCTTAATGGATGTAATTCTGCTGCCAATTATTTGAGGGGCCATTATTTTTGCTTATTATGTACTGGTCAATTAGGTCTGATTCACCACCACTCTGTATTTCCCTTTCTTTCTTTTTTTTTTTTTTAAATTTATTTATCTGACAGAGATCACAAGTAGGCAGAGCAGCAGGCAGAGAGAGAGGGGGGAAGCAGGCTCCCCGCTGAGCAGAGAGCCCAATGAGGGGCTCGATCCCAGGACCCTGGGATCATGACCGGAGCTGAAGGCAGAGGCCTTAACCCACTGAGCCACCCAGGTGCCCCTCCCTTTCTTTTTGCTAATGATAAATAAGTAGCCTGTTTTATCCAAACTTTAATCCTCATGGGATTTTTCCCATCAAACAGAATTTCCTCTTCTAACATAATAGCACTATCATAATTGCCTTTGACATTAACAATATCAGCACAGAATTTTTCCCTGGAGGAAATATTAAAGCACCAGAGGGATGGATAAACAATCTGTGTATGGTACTTGGAGAGAAATATGGCCTAGGGCAGGAGAATCAATAAAAGATATTTCGAGATTGTTTCAGGTACTAGGGCGCCATATGCAATTCTGTCTTTCTCTTCTCCAGGCTTAAGTCTGTAGAGTCAGGGTCAGCCTCTGTGATCTGGTTTCTTTGAAGGAGCAGAGTATCTCCGTAAAAAAAAATGAGCAGGTAATCAAGAGTATTTAGACTTTTGTAGAGTGGTCCCAGGGGGATCTTCAAGTGCCACAGAAAGCCCAGGAAGGCTGATTAAATTGCTGTTAGTTGGACCAGTCTTGGAGAAACTCTGCATCCAGTGTGCACACACTTCTGGTTTCATTTAAAGCCACTGATGTAATGAGGGTTATTACTCTTAGCGGACATAACGTGGATATTAGGCAATCAGACCCTGACGGTGGTTACGTATGAGAGGCTGTAGAGACCAGGTGTTTGTGAGGGTGGCAAAGCTAAAAGAAGGAAATCATTCATTTTTGGAAAGGTGATTTTAGAATTTAATTGAAAAAGCTAACAAGAAAATTTTTTAAAAAATGGCCAGTAGCAGTTATGGGTCTGAGCTTTACTTCACTTATACATGGACAGGCTCACGTAAATATGATGTCTTTTTTTCAGGCCAGAATACATCTGAACCCCAAGGAAATGATCTGCTTCTGGACTAGAGAATGTATTTTAAGAAGAAAAATATATAATAAATAATAAACATATAAATATAAATATAAATAAATAAATAAATGAGTATTTATTCATTTATTTAAGAAGGAATCACTCCATTTGGGATCTTTCTGAGTTTGTGGCCTGTGAAGCCCAAGTACCCATATACATATGGATGGGGTTGGGAGAAGGAGGCAGTTGAGGGCCTGGGAATTGGTAAAAGGAATTTTGTTTCCTTTTAGCCTTTGTTGAATGTTCATTTTTAAAATGCTTTAAGTCGGGGCACCTGGGTGGCTCAGTGGGTTAAAGCCTCTGCCTTTGGCTCAGGTCATGATCCCAGGGTCCTGGGATCGAGCCCCGCATCAGGCTCTCTGCTTGGGAGGGAGCAGGGAGCCTGCTTCCCTTCCTCTCTCTCTGCCTGCCTCTCTACCTTCTTGTGATCTCTGTGAAATAAATAAAATCTTTAAAAAAAATAAATAAAATGCTTTAAGTCTCTAAGGGGAGCCCTAGACTTGGGCTAACTTCCATAGAATGAGTCTATAGCAGAATCAAGGTAACACTGACATCAGCTTCTTTGATAGTTGATTCTTTTCCTTTTTTTTCCCCCCAGGAGAAAAGAATAAAAAAGAAGATAGTAAGTTTATAAAAAAGAGATTCTAGGGGCACCTGGGTGGCTCAGTCTGTTAAGGGTCTGTCTCTTGGTGTCTGCTCAGGTCATCATCTCAGGGTCATAAGATTGAGCTCTGAGTCTGGTTCCACGCTCAGTGGGGAGTCTACATGAGATTCTCCCTCTCCCTCTCCCTCTCCCTCTCCCCTCACTCACATGCCCATGTGTGTGTGTGCGCTTTCTCTCTTCTGTAGAATAAAATCTTTTTTAAAAGATGAGATTCTAGACCAACTTGAGTTATCTTAGAGGCGGCATGGTAGTGGAAAGAATGCAGGCTTTGCAGTCTGAAGGACCTACAGTCTAACTCCAGATGAGCCCTTAACATTGTTGTGGACTTGAACATGCTAATCAAACCCTTTGAATCTTGGTCTCCTCATCTGCAAAAGGGGATTAAGAATACCTACTTATAGGGGTGCCTGGCTGGCTCTTGGGGTCATGAGTTAGAGCCCCAGGTTGGGCGTAGAGATTCCTTAAAAAAATCTACTTAGAGGCACTTGGATGGCTTAGTTGGTTAAGTGGCTGACTCTTGATTTCAGCTCAGATCATGACCTCTGGGTCTTTGGATCAAGCCCTGACTTGGGTTCCACACTCAGCAGGCAGTATGCTTGAAGATTCTGTCTCTCCCTCTCCTTCTTTCCCTCCCCCGACTTGTGCTCTCACACTCTCTTTCTGAAATAAATAAATGTTTTTAAAAAATTTAAAATTAAAATGATCTACTTCTATGAGTTGATGGACAGAAAGTTTTAGGGATGGTAAGCACATAGCAGGCACTCAATAAAAAGATCGCTCTATTTGTTCTCCAGAAACTTCTATCCTCTCTCCCCTGTGCTCTCATCCCCTTCTGGAGTCTAGGCCCTTCCTCTGCAGGCTGCTCTTCCTCTCGGCTCACCTGTGGTGTTCCGGCAGTCACAGCAGTCCTGGGCATTAGAGGAATCGGACCCATTACAGCAGTGTAGGCAACGGCCGTCATCCACAAACAGCACCAAGTTGGCGGGGCACACCGTACAGTTCTTAGTGCCAGGTCCCTTGCATTCCACGCAGCTCTCATCACATTTTTCACAGCTAAGCTTCTCCCCCTGGTAAGAACAATCGGGAGATTCTTTTTGAGTCTGGAGGAATCAACAAGGCACTGGAGTTCCCAGGTGTGAATTCCATCTTGTCTCCATGAGGAAGGGAGGCATGCGGGGGACAGAAGAAAGACAGCTCATTCTGGGTCCACTTTCACGGTTTAAGGTGAAGAGCCCACCTGGCTGCACTTGGGGGAAACTACTGCTGGGTCTCTGCATCTGAGATCCTCTGGTAACAACAGTGGGAGAACAGGCTTCTGGAACCGCTCAAGTTACAGAACAGACAGCTCATGTGCTGTACCTGGTCAAGGACAAGTTGTGTCTGGCTCATTACGAAATGGACCTTCACCCTTTATAAAATTTTCAGTTCATTGCCCACATTTCAAAACTGGGATATTTCACTTGTAAATCAGTTCCTAGTTTCTCTTTAAAAACTAGACTGTCAACATGGTCATCACTCCCATATGGCAACATCCCAGACAGCTGAGGGGAAGGGACCCTCTTTTTGTGCTGTTCTAGTTGAGAGAATCCCCAGAACCTTGCTCCAATGTCACCAACACAGGTGACCCATCAAATTCCACGTTTCATCAGGTCTGCCCTGGGGTTTTCTTTGACCCGACACCTGCACTCATTAGTCCACTTGGCCTCTGTGCTGTTAGATGCCGTGTGTGGCCCTGCCCCGTCATAATATTTGTGTCTGTTTAGCTAAAACAGTGAAATAAGAGATAAGGAGAAAGTGGCTTCCCTCCCGAAAAGAGGCTGCTTCGGTGGTGCTAAAAATGTCGATGTCTTCCTGTTTTACTTCCGTGCTTTGGAAGGGTGGTATGGTAGAAAAGAAAGGAATGGAAATTGCCTTTGTTGAGCAAAGGTGCTGATCCTGTCTCAGCTGTGATTGTCTTACCAAATCCTGGGTTAGCGGTCAGGACCCCTGGGTTCAATCCCAGCTTTGTTACTTACTACCCAGGTGATCGTTAGCAAATTATCTAATCTCTCTGAAATGGAGGAGTTTCTCCAAGGTGGAAGGATGTAAAGAGAACTCCTATGTGAATATGTTGGGTCATGTTAATTTCACCATTAAGAGATTTGCTTAGTTTCTACAGCTTGTAAGTACAAGAAGTTAGTGAATTCAGAATTTCCCTGGTTTCTAGGCAAGGAAATGAAATATATCTCTCTTAATACACTGTGCAGGGTGGAGGAAATGGAAGGCCTGCAGCAGTTGTGTAGTTTTGACATTATTCAGGCATTTCAGGTGAGACAGCAGAGGAGTAGGAGAGAAGATATTTCTTCTTTCTCTTAAGATTTATTTTTTGGTGGGGGGGCTTGAGTGGGGAAGGACCAGAGGGAAAAGGAGAGAGCATCTCAAGCAGACTCCACACTGAATGTAGAACCTGACCTGGGGCTCGATCCCAGGACCCTGAGATGATGACCCTGAGCCAAAATCAAGAGTCCAATGCTCAACCGACTGAGCCCCCAGGCACCCTAATATTTTTTATCTCTGATATAATATTCTTAAGTGGCGCCGAAACTTTTAAGATCATGAGCAATGAATGTAGAGATAAATCTGAGGTCCTCATTATCTAACTTCCCCATTGTTTATCTTAGGTCATCTCAGTCGCTTGGAGATGAAGGCTACAGATGGGTAGCACCCTTCTGTGATGCGGTGGTAGAAGGTTATAAAACTAGAGCAAGCATGGGAATTGTAAGACCTCCTGATTTTCCCAGAACGGCCTTCCACACCTCTGCAGAAATGGAGGAGGGCACAGCCTGCCCAGCTCTCAGTACCTCTCCCACTCTGTATTCTCCCACCAGACAGTCCGAGGCGCAGATTCCTCCTGCTAGATGGTAACTCCACACACAGGATAAGCAATTAAGTGCTCCTTTTCCTGAAAGGAAAAAAAAATAAAGTGATCCTAAATTATGAGGGCTGACCTTAGATTTCAACCTGTTTTGGGTCCAAAACTCTTAGGAGCAAGGAACATGTCAAGCAAATTGACATGTAGAAAGATGGATTGATTGAGGAGATGGGGGGCAGGTGGGAAAGTCTGGAAGACACCAAGTGAAGACCTAGAAGTCCAGTCAATGTAAATGCTCATTTGGAAATGGAGGGTTGCGAAGTGATAGATCTTTGATGACAGCAAAAAGAAAGATTTTTGGAGAATGGGAAATCATGTAGAAAGGGTATAAAACTTCTGTCATTCTGCTTATTGTTTAACTGATATGAAGGAGGAGAATGATAGCAGATGGTTTGGAGGGTCCTGATACTCAGTTGGTGAGGAAATCATGGTCAGGCAGCTCCTAAGAAAGACTAGACTTAGAATTTTAAAGGCAGGGCTAAAAGAATTTAGCAGATCCTTTTGACCACTTGTTCTTAATTTGGGGAGGATGGATTCCTTAGACGTTCTCTTGAAAGCTAAAAACTTTTTTTGGCATGCTATTTATTTATTACTATTATTAATTAATTAATTTGAGAGAGAGAGAGAGACAGACAGACAGACAGACAGACATGGAGAGGGGCAGAGGGAAAGGGAAAGAAAAAAACCCCAAGCAGGATCCACGCCCAGTGTGGAGACTGACACAGGATTGGATCTCGCAAGCCTGATATGACCTGAGCTGAAATCAAGAGTCAGATGTTTGCCCGACTGAGGACTCAGGCTCCCCTATTTATTATTTTTTAAAAATAAATGAAAAGTAAGACCCAGATATGTCAAGTCATTCATTCAAGTGTACATAGATAATGGTCAAGATTCAAATTCACATTTGTTGACCTACAGTAAATCTTCTTTCAATGATACTCTCTGCCTTAACTCTTTATGACCCACCAAGTAGAGGAGGTCAGAATCTACAGGCTCCGTTTTTGTGGAGGTAACACCCTACTCTCCTAATTCAGAGACCCTAAGAATGACTGACCCAAACATTACCTTTTGCCCAGATATTAAGGGATAACTTCCAGAAAGGATTTGGAGACAGGAGACCTGAATTCTCATTCATTCCATTAGGAAGGTCCTGGTGTTTTTGCTGAGAATTTCAAAAATGAGCAAGGAGATGGATGGGGGGCATGGAATGTGCCTGACATTGTGAGTTGGAACTTGATATAGGTCTTCCCATGAGAAGAATACTGTACAGAGTGGTTAGTTGAATTTGAAGTAGATCCTTGAGTCCTGTCCTTCACAATCACTAGTAGTTAAATCAGCTTTCATGTCTGATCAGTGAGCTCCATCATATGGTGTTTCTATGGGAAAAAATTCTGAGCTCTGAACAACAGTTTAGAGAATAAGCCTTCATTATCCAGCAGCTTCTTAGATTGGGGGCTGCCTATAGTGACACCAATTCAAAGCCATTTTATTATTTTTAAGTTTTCAATTAAGTGTAGTTGACATACAGTATTATATCAGTTTCAGGTGTACAACAGTGATTCAACAATTATGTACATTATGAAGTGTCCATCACGCCAAGTATTGTCACCATCTGCCACCACACAACGTTATTCCAATATTATTGACTATATTCCCTATGCTGTACTTTTCATCCCTGTGACTTACTTATTTTATAACTGGAAGTTTGTACCTCCAAATCCCTTTCACTATTGTACCCGTCCTCCAACCCCGCCCCTTGCCCTCTGGCAACCACCAGTTTGTTCTCTGTAGTTATAAATCTACTTGTTTGTTCATTTATCTTGTTTTTTTGTTTTTTGGGTTTTTTTTTTTTGGCTTCCATGTAGAAATGAAATCATATGGTATTGGTCTTTCCTAGTCTGACTTATTTCATTCAGCATTGTATGCTCTAAATCCATCCACATTGTCATGATGGTAAGATTTCATTCCTTTTTTTATGGATGAGGAACATTCCATTGTATGTATACCACATCTTCTTCAGCCATTCATCTATCAATGGACACTTGGGCTGCTACTGTAATTTGGCTATTGTAAGGAATGCTGCTAGAAACTTAAGATGCATATATCTTTTCACATTAATGTTTGTATTTTCTTTGAGTAAAATGGATCATACCGTATTTTTATTTTTAATTTTTGACAAATCTCCATACTGTTTTCTGTAGTGGCTGTACCAATTTACATTCCTACCAAATAGTGTACAAGGGTTTCCTTTTCTCTACATCATCACCGATACCTGCCATTTGTTGTCTCTTTGGTATTAGTCATTCTGACCAGTCTAAGGTAGAAATCTCATTGTGGTTTTGATTTGCATTTCTCTGATGAGTTATGTTGAATGTCTTTTCATTGACTGTAGGTAATTTGCATGTCTTGTTTGGAAAAATGTCTATTCCAGACTTCTGCCCATTTTGCAATCAGATTTTTTTTCGTTAAGTTGTATGAGTTCTTTATATATTTTGGATATTAACCCCTTATTAGATATATATACCTGGGTGATCCCCAAAGGCACTACCTGTCACCAGTTATATCTCCTTATATTGATTTATTGCACAATGCATACACCCTGGGTACGCAGAGTCTTTTGCCAAAGGCAGTTTGTTAATTTCCGGATTGTTTTCCTATTGTTTCCAAGTTTAACAACCTACATTTGTCATTGCTTCTAAGAATCTGCAGCCACTGTGGGACCTATAAAGATGGCTTTGAGATTTCCTTAGAATTCAGAACTCACTACTGGCTTTCCCTTGGACTGACCCCCACAGGATGAGTTCAGCAACGCAAAGCAACCCCTGAGGACATCCATGGTGTCATTCCACACGGGAAGAGGAAGCTGGAAAGACTACAGTGGTTTTGGCTACCAGCATGGATATTTATTTCAAACAATTTTGCGAGGAGGATAAATAAAAAGTTAAATGCGTAAAGGTAAGGAATGAGATAATTATGGAGGAACCAACTGCATACAAAGGTAATATAAGGCCTTGGGGGGCCATCTGTCACCTACCCCCACCCTGTCCAGTGCTTTGGCATATTTTTTTTTACGACTCTGATAGATACCACTGGACAGTCAACTGTGAATGAATGCAATCCAGTTGGTAAATTGCTTATTTAGGTTACAAAATTTTCCCTGTAATTTTTGTGTCGCCTCATTTCGTAGTATGACAGCTAGTGTTTTAGGGAGGTACCTTGGAATCCATCCTTTTTTTTCATCCAGTTTATAACCCAGGAGCAAACCTGTCCCCCAGTTTTGTAATCTAGATCTTGCAAAGATTCAGATTCACTAAGCAGCCCTGGCTGTGTGCGGCACGGTGAGCGTAGGATGGTACATACTGTGAGCCCCACACATGGAAGGCTTCCAGCAGGCCCATCTAGGGTTCAAGTCAAATACAGGAGGAGGAGACCTCAGAATAGCTGCGAGATGCACCCAGCTATGACCAGCCATCCTTCGCATACATTATCAGGTAGAATGTGTTGATGAACTTCTTTTGTATGACTGTTTTTTTTTAAAAGGAATTTTAAGTTTACAGCGAAATAGAGGGGAAGACACAGAGATTTCCTGTGGACTCTGCTCCTACCATGTGCATAGGGTCCCCTGTTATCAACACTCACTAGCATGATACTTTTTTTTTTCCTTTTCTTACCCAAAGATAAACCTATATAGACATATCATTTTCACCCAAAGTCTCTAGTTTACCTTAGGGTTCTCTCTTGCTGTTGTACATCCTATGGGTTTGGACCAATGTATAATAATACATATCCATCATGAGACTGTCATACAGAGTATATTCACTGCCTTAAAATCCTCTGTGCTTTGTCTCTTCATCTCTCTCTGTCCATCACCCCTGGCGACCAACCGCTGGCCTTCTACTGTTTCCACCATAGTTTTGCCTTTTCCAAAATGTCACACAGTTGGAATCCTACAATCTATAGACTTTTCAGATCGGCTTCCTTCACGCAATAATATGCATTTATGCTTCCTCTGTGTCTTGTCGTGGCTTGATTGCTCTCCCTTTTTACCCTGAATAGTATTTCATGGTTCTGGATGTGTTGATGAACTTTTGAGACCGGGAATCTTCAGAACCATCATCCTTAATCCACCGAGGAGATCTCAAACCCAATTAAAGATATTTATACGTTTTCAGACTGTGCTTACAAGATCACTAATAATTTCTACAATCCCCGCAAAAAAAAAAAAAAATTCTTTAAAAGCTAGTGTTCTGTTTTGGTTGGCTGAGGTTGAGACATTAAATAACCTAATGATGGTTGCCTGGTCTTGATGAAAAACCCAAGGGCTCTAGCCCACTGCAATGCCCTAGGACACTGGAATCAGGATTGTCAGATTTAGCACATCAGAATATAGGGTTTTATCTGGCAATCCTAGTTAGAATAAAGGCCCACATATCTAGTAATGGCGGTATCAGAAAATCTAATGGAAAGCCAACACCATATTTACTATGATATGGCTAGGTATAATGCTAACTTTCTACCACCCTCCCACCATACCCCCAATTCAATGTATCCCCTTATTTATCTTATTCTAATTAGAAGTTTTGAGGCAGGAACTATAGGTGCCTCTGGAATGAAAATAAGAGAATACAAATGAATGGTAACTTAATGCAAGTGTGTTCGGAAGGCCAGTTCTTTCAAAGATGGGAGTCAGTTGCAGATAGGGTAAGGTGGGAGCCACAGCATGGCAGAGTTTTCATGGCCTTGACTCCAGGACTGCCTGGGAGTGGTATGAGGGGCAGAGGAGGGCATTCTGGGGCTCTTGAGATTCTGCCTGGGCTCCTCACTCCAATCTGAGCGGCTCTGCTTGGGTCCATTTGCATCGTAGGATCCAGCGTAAGATTTCTTCTGAAGAAGATGGTCTCCCACCAAAATACTAGAAATAATAGATATACTAGAAATAACCAAAATAATAGAAACCATTATTCTAAATTAGACTGTGTTGGCCAGTACGGTAGCCACTAACCCCGTGCGCTACTGAGCCCTACTGAGCC